CTCCAACAGAAGCAGAAGTTCGGTTTTGCATTCAATCTTTGAAGCGAGGAAAGGTAGCAGGACCTGATTAACTCCCCCCACTCTTTTCAAGATGGGAGGTGATAATCTCTTAACCTCTATCACTACCCTACTGTGCAACATTTAGATGCAAGAGCACATTCCTAGCGCATTCCTTCATCTTGGGGCGAATCACTGATCGTTCTCATTTTCAAGAAGGGATCCCCCAACGATTGCGAAAACCACCGCGGGATAAGTTTGATCCCGATCGTCACCAAAGTGCTAGCCTTGGTTATACTTCGATGTCTGACGCCTTTAAGAGAGACCAACATTCGTGAACAGCAAGCTGGATTCTGGCCTGGCCGTGGATGTATTGATCAGAGTTTTACGTTGCGTTAGATCCTTGAGCTGCGTCATGCCCACCGTCGGCCAACGATCGCAGTGTTCCTTGACCTGAAAGGAACCTTCGACTCAGTTGACCGCGATGTTCTGATGGGCTCCGTTCTTCGAAAAGGAATGCCCAAGAAGTACGTTAACCTAATGAGGTCACTGTACTCACAATCGTTGCGGGATCCTTTCTTAAAAATGATGCGAGTATCCCATTTTGTTCACCCTTGCATTAACCTCCGATGTTATGAAAGATTCGTCTATTTCGTGCTGATCAACTACCCACTTCAAGCTTCCTTTTTTTTCGTAAGATCGCATTCGTCATATAATGTTCTCGAACATTTATGTATGCTTGTATGCACGCGGTTTAAAATTTATGAAGGGTTTTTATTCAGATAGCCGATACAGACAGAAACTGAAGGTGGATTTAGATGCAATCCCACATGTAGAACAAATAAGCCTCGGATTTGCAAACAATCATTAGCGCAACAAAGCGCATTCAGGTCCAATTCCGTGTAGCATACCATATCTTAGTCGGTATGAGCAGTTCTTCTTCAGTAGGTATGAAGATCAGATTGAACACTTTCCGGTGAGGGTTTATTTGTCGCACAATTATCTGATTCTGCTCATTCTGTACATCTCTGCATAACCATCATTTTTTCATTTCTGCACTAGTCTATCTGTGTGAACTTACGCACAAGTCATTCCTTATTGTCGATTCAAATTTTCTCCCCACAGTCAATAGTTTTGAATCGATGGAACGACTGAATCGCCTGGTTCAAAAATGGGGCAATGAGATTGAAAAGTTACTGAACCAGTCGGAGCAAATTCGACGCGAATCAGATGATATTGGACCGTCGGTTGAATTGGCCTATTGGCGAGGTCGAATGATTCGATTTGCCAAGTGAGTCGATGAAAGCCACCTGACGGCAATTAAATCCCTTCTACCAAGTTTTGAGCAGAAGAACGTGATAAACTACTCGATACTCACTGAAGTGGTGAAGTATGTTAAACAATCACAGTTAATTGTGAGTGGTGGTGTGTTACGATTGATACGGATTTAGCCTGACCGGTTTCCAGACTACACCTGCATACACAAGCTTCAGTTGATCTAGTCAACCATACACTCGGGAAGCACATAAGTATTACATATCCAACGTTCAAGTCAATTTCATTCATACATTACCACTACTCAGAAATAACTGTGAGTTAGCCATGAAAGCGAATCAAGCCCAGCAGGTTTGCAGGACTGCTTGGATCTGCCTGATTTGGTGAGAAGCTTTCAATCGGAGTTAACAGATGGTCACCTGTGTCTCTGTTCGTTCCTGTCGGGCCAAATTGACCAACATTGAATAAGACACTTGAACAAACATGAATCGGCCATCTTGGTCAGCCCCAGTATGAGCTGTTGGGCACCCAATGATAAACTGGAACTAGAGTAATACTTGAGTCTAGTACTTCGACCTGTGCATGGTTGGCTAAATGAAATGAAGATGAAAATCAAAATTATATTCATATGAGTTTTTCTAACCAATCACCCCGAATATAGTATTTCATTTCACGATCAGGTTAACAGTATTACATAAACATTGTACACTTTCACAAATCATCTCAGTTATAGCTTCAACTATCCATATCGATTTACTATTTACAACGGCGGTCCGGAGATTGGGTGACTGAAAATTGGTTTAGCATGGAATGTCGATATGATTTATACGAATACCACTGAAAAACCTTGGAAGCACTCCAATAAAAATGGATGTTTGATCCAGTTCATCCATAGAATCATCAACATAACATATCTAATAGCTCCACTAGGATTCATGCTCATGTTTTCCGAGCTATCTTCCGTGATTGTTCAACACCGCACGGGCTGGTATCTATTGGATTTTGACGGCCGTTCCCTAGATGGCGAACCATTCCTTGTTACACGGTTTCTTAGTGCTCATTCACTTTCGATGAACTTGAAATGTGGAACTATCTAGCATATTGCTCGATGTGTCTTTCACAGTTTAAATAAATGTGTATATATATATATATATATATATATATATATTCCACGAGTTTTTTCCGACCCCTGCAATGCGTTGCAAGTTTGGTACGGTGTTAAGCATTCGGCTCCGGTGCAAATGCTTCTAAATTGCTCTGACAGTGCATATGTGAATAAACTCTGGAGTCCGAAATGTCTGAAATGACTTCAAATTTTCCATCTCATTTGTTTTATTCCAGTCTAATCGATGAAATGCGCACACCCCCGGTTCAAGCCGTCATCATGGCTTTGCAATATGCCCGTGCACGCATCATCAAATACTGGAGACAACTGGTGAGTTTTAAGATCGCTGGTCAAGTGAATCGATCATCAAAAGAAACCGAGAAGCACTTTTGTTTTTATCATCTGCAGGAATAAATTGAAATTCCGAAAGAATTACCGGTGGATGGTCTTCTGTTTCCACTTCAAATGTTATTGTGATCTATTCACTGAACTGTCGCGTATAAATATTGTGAATATTCACCGATTTACGAGCATCAGGATGACTGCTTTTCTTTGTCTCCCTCCAATCAGACCCAATCCCTCTCTATCTTATGCTTTATCACTTGATTAGTGTACATTATGAGCTTGGCAGCGATCAATGAAGTTCGGTTTGCTGTATCTCGCTATACGATGATGATGTCTTTCTTACCGTTAGACAGAATTTTTGTCATTTTTTCATGTATAACAAGCCACAGTACTCGTTTATCTTCATGAATCTTCGTCAATCAGTTCCTTTGAGTCCCACAACACGTAGACTTATGTTTAAAATGGTAAGAGAGGTGGTTATGAGAAACGCTGCATATTTACCTTTGGTACAAGTTTCGTTCCGGATGAGTTTGCGTTGCCGCGCTAGCAAGATCAGAAACGAAGAAAATAGTCGACCAAAGGAAATTAGTACAGATCTTAGCAACCAAATAACCGTGTATCCAACGTACATGAATCTATTGAAGCGCCTGGTCAAGTACTTTCGAAGATTACCATGGTAACCAAGGTTGATTATTCCTCGAAATCGTTCTGTCCTGTAGAATGCATAACCAGACGAAATAAAACGGTCATAAAGCAAATATATGTGAAAACAAACTTCAGTATGTGATATAAAATGACACACTTTCCTCAGGACTCATCGATCTTGTTAGAAAATTCATGCATGGGTAACTCCAATCCGTTTTTTGCTGATTTAAAATAACGACGAACCTCTATATGGCACAATAGTTTCATCTGAACGTCTGACATTGCTTTCGCTTTTCAAATAAAAATCGAAATATGTAGTAAATAGATCTCACCTCCAGAACCAGTTTATTTTAATGTTCTCATATGAAATGTGTCTTTTTTCAGTACCAGTACCAGTTCATAAACTGTCCGTTTCAGATCTAACCGATAAATGTGACCATAAGGGGCATAATTTCCCAAATATTATGCTCTGTTTTCCACAAGACAATTAGTAGAATTTCAGCATTTCGAAACGACTTCTAAAACTAGCTTATTCGGAACAGCGTTTCATAGTTAGTACTAGAGATTTGGTTATTGAATAGCACAGCTTTTCTTTTACATTACCGGTAGTATTTATGTCAATTCAGCTATATCACAGATTTAATATAAACTTTCGCTACTTTCTTTGTCGATCGACCAGGACAATCGAATCACGGAAGCTGCCAACGAAGCAAAAGATAACGTGAAGTATTTGAGTACGCTGGATAATTTTCTCGGTTCTTTCAGCAACGCCACTCCGGTAAGATTCCTTTGATTGTATAACGATTATATAACCATAGTTCACAGCTATGGAATACATTTGCAAAACAATCAGTTGTAAGCTTCATTGTAATCTAGTTTCGTGAATTTCATCAATGGTTTAGCACTTTCTGCAATCTCTAGCCTGTATTCACATGGAACAAAGTAGCTGACGCTTAAAACCCCGTGTCAAAAGCCGCCGAGTACCACCATATTCGCACAAATCAAAAGTCAATAAACGTGAGTTGTTTTCGTTATCTCCGGGGTGATTAAAAACAGGCAACCCCGCATCCACCTTATTTCTTATCAGATAGTGCTATACCTTAAGCACACACGTTCTAAAGCTGGTCATTGTTTTTATCAGGCACATTGGAAACAGGATCCAAAACGGCGGTTAGCAGATAGTGGAATCAGTAATGAAAATGCGGTCATCCCGATGCAAATTGGGTGGGTATCAGATATGGCCCGGTACAATTGTTTATTGAATGTCCAGGAGTCGATATCGGGCAAGCGAATATGCCCCGTAGCTCCCCATGGCACGGAATAAGCATAAAAATACATTTTGGTGATTCCATTTATGCAATGTCCTGAACAGCACCTCTCCTTCCTTTGTGCACAATCAGTCACTACTGGTCGTCTATGAGAGCTAGTCACCTTGGAAGGAACAAATTACCTTCACGTTACAGTAGGTAGATTGAAGATAGAATAAGCGTCAAAAAGAAGCGAATGAAATGCATCGGATCGGCGTAGCAGCAATCGTATTTGGGAAATTTTGTCCAAATCTCACATCGATTCTATCGCCTGATGTCTTTCACCGAGTGAAGGTGAAGATGTTTCTAAATTTATCGTCCAATCGGGTAAGTATACAGCTTATAATGATTTGACCTGATCCAAGTAGTGAAAATGAAGATCGGCACCATCCGTTGAATCACATTTGGAACAAAACAGCTGCCAAGTGCAATACGTTTTCGCGAAAAAGCTGTCGTTAGACAAAATTCTGATGCAGTTGATTCACCCTGCCAGGTTACGGTGAAAATTTGCTTACCGGACACACATTTATCTCAACCAGTTCTAATTCGGTTCATTTTCATCCTTATTGATTTTGTACGCCAAGGACAAATTTCCTTCTGATTGATAAGCATCACAGTCTATGACCGCTGGCTTTATGGGTCAACCCATCTGTTGAAACGTTGAGATGGACGATCCGACCGGACTAGCGGTACGTGTGACTGTAATGACCACAAACAGACCCGGCGGACAAGCGAACAGTACACGAGTGCGCCAGACTGCGATACCCGACCCAAATCCAACTGGAACCGAAAAGAACACCCCACGAGAGTAGTGGAATCCTCGAACCAGGTCAGAGAGAACACGGAAGACAGGCCTTCAGGCGAGGTTGTATATTTGACTCGACCGTAATGGATAATTCGTCTGTTTATATGCAGTTTAGCTACCGGCCAGCAATGACCTTGGAAAATAATTCGAACGAAGAGAGTCATGGAGAGATGGATCAATGAAGATCGAATATTGCCGGTGATGCGGTATGATACTGTCTTGGACCCAAAAGCCAGGAATTCCAATTTCATGAAAATAATTAGAAAAATCAGGAAAAATGGGTGGGGATAGTCAATTTTATAGGGGAAAATTGTTTTTTCCCTATCATCATCTCCGTCCACTCGATAAGAGATAACTTGCCCATACGGATTCTTAGAACTGAGTATACGAGGCATGTTATGTCCCCCGCATTATGTTGCCTGATATCATCCAGAAGATATCTTGATACCAATAGAAAATAAAACAACCATCTTTTCAGGAACCGCTTGCACATTCGCGGAATAGCTTTGAGCGAACAAAAATTCATTCACACAGTTCGCTAATAGAATTTTGTTCACTTTGTTTTCATTTTTTAATTCCCATAGAGCAAACTGGGACAACAGATCCCGGTTATTTTGAACGCGATACGAATGATCTACTGCATCTCTCAGCACTACAACACGTCCGAGCGCGTCACTTCCCTGTTCGTGAAAATCACCAATCAGCTGATTGGCGCTTGTCGACATTATGTTTCCCACGGTGTCAGTCGGATATGGGATTTGCCTCGGTATGCTGACTTCTGTCTTGTGTGTCTTCATTTTTCGTGAAATTTAAACAGGTATTTTTGTTGCTGGAACTAGCATGCGTAGCTTGAGTAACTGTGGAGAGCGACAGGACCCTGAACTACACAACCTGAGCTATAGCAGTATCAATTTGACTATTCAGCTTCGATTTTAGTTATGCCAAGAATATCTTTATTCTCTCAGACTGTTATTTCAAGATGTGTGTTCTGTTAAGCTAATATCAAGACATCATTATCAGTAATATTATCACTATTATAGGTAGTATCGTTCCCTTTATTTAGTTATTTCGTATGCACATAGGGACAAAAGCTTTCCTCACCTCTCACTGTTGAGAATCGAGCCTCTTCCATTGAACTCTCGAAACTCGTTGCATTGTTCGACCCAGTCGTATGACCGGCTGGATGAGCTTCCAGTTGTTAGGTAGTAACATGTCAGCTTTATAAATCCACTGGCGAAGTGACGTCACGCAATCCTCCAACGGTGAGAAGATGTTAGAATAATGTGACGCCAGTCGCTTCAGTAGCGGACGGTGATGTGGAGATCTGTGCATCCAGGATGGTGAATTGCATGGACTCTTTGTTCTTACAAGACGTCGTATTCTCCGTTTTGTGATGGACAGCAACATTAAAAAAGAATATTCTGGTGACCTGCCACGAAAGACCACAGGAAAAATTGACCAGTTTCTACTGTCCGGAGACCCTAACTGCTAATGCAAATATGACTTCTGAAGGCTGACAACACCAGGCTTCAGTCTGTGCAGAAGTATTCGATTAAATAGAAAGTCATCTGTCTGTTTCTCACTGTTGAACAGCCTACTCATCGGATCCGGTGGAAATCATTTTGATCTTTACGGGCTAAAAACTGAAGGTAATCGATGTTCAAAACCCGAAGAGCCTACAGGGAGGCCTTGAAGAACGATTGGGGAGGCAGCAATACCACAAGAATACATCCACAAAACCACAACCAGTATAACAGTTGGCGGGGTTATTCAATACATACGTATTATTAAAGGCTATGTTCCTAACAGTTTAGGATAGATCAGGTTTCACGAGACAGTAAAGGCTTTCGTGAAACACGTGTCCAGAATCTAGATTCAGCCGGAACGACGGTTTTTTCAAAGCTTCAACCTCTTTTCAACTGACCACATCCCATATTTTCTTCAAGAGTTACCATCTCTGTTAATTCCGTATTCATAAAGGGAGATTTTTCGAAAATAGGGAGCATGCAGTTTCTAATGCTAATTGTGGGTACCGTATTAAATTCCTGCATAGAGCGTGATCCAAATACCATCTAGTCACCTCTTAACCTCTTGACCAAATAAGCTTCCATTCGATTCAGAGGTCCCAAGATCACCAGTTTTAAGACCGAAACTGATTGGGTCTTGGTCTAGTTAATTAATGCCCAGTAAAAACAACATTGGGATACGAGAAGATCAAACCCTCTGGGTTTTATCAGCGGGAGCCGATGATTTACCGTGTCGATGACCTTCCTGAATTCCGCGTAGCATACGGTAAACTTTTGTCCATCGTTTAACCTCCTTTTATCTTCGTCCAAGAAGCACAGAGGGCTGCTCAAACACACGCTATTCATGAGGAAGCCATCTCTTGTAGGGTTTATTTACCTATGTCAAGTGATGTGTTGCCAAAGATTATCTCTAACGAAGATGTCTAAGCTCTCACACTGCACGCTGGTTAAACTTATCAAACTATAGCTACCGAGTTGCTTTCTATTCCCACCCTTGTGGTCGGCTTTCATGTTGGCTGTTGTTCAATCCCAAGTTACACTCCCAACTCTTAGGGCTCTGTGGTGATCCTGGCCTACGTGATGACGCCTACTCTGAAGCGGCACGTTACAGTTTCTGGACATTTGCGATCAATCAACTTTGAAAGATGACGTTAATGACACACGCATGGCTTCTGACTACACGTCATTGGTGGATCGTGCCAGCCAATCCGAGGCAGTGCTGACAGAAGCAGAATTATGCAAGCAGTATTGAATTCGGTTGGTGGAAGCCTAGATAACCAACAATCTTCTTTTGTACATATTATTTAGTCGCCTTCATTTCTTCCTGTGACCCTTTCCTCGCGTCTCGTTCACCCGGGATATTGTGAGTTCGTGCCATTGCGGTCCAATTGTTCCGTAATCCAGTCCGTGACAGCTAATCCTTGATTTGTGTCCGGTGATTCCTATTGCGTGGCTTGCATTCCGAGTTCCGTGCGTACTGGTGCTACCAATACAATCATTACAGGCTCCTAGTACAGAGCAAAATCAGGCGAGGAGAGTGTGTCTGCAAGATATCTGATAATGACCAGGTGAAAGTCAACGCTGCCAACAACCTGGCTGACCTTTAGGCTCTCCACGACCCCCATAAAAATAACCCTGGCGATGTTTATAACATCCATTAGATAGCCGTGCCTGTGCTTCGTCTACCCAAGAACACATTGGTCTGAACTGTTTTTACAAATAAGGCATAACCCTTAGATGTTCCACTCCACCTGTATTCTCCTTTTATTTCGTGTTTTTACAAAGCGGTTTATGCTGTTTATCTGGCTTGAAAACCGAAAAATGACATCTCGATCGGAGCTGAACTGTTTGCATGAACGGCCCAAAAGATGCTCATGAATATGAGTCACTGAAACACAATGGAACATATATGCGAAACGTACTGAATAGTATTTAACAATCGGATATTACGGTATGAAGACAACCAAGTGACATTATTCATGCATGTAGTGTGCCGAATGCTTTAAACGACAGTAAATGCGTCGAATTTTCAACTACTGAAGATCCTTTAGGTGTTCATGCTTTAAACGGCAGTGTATATTGCCACTAAACCATTAAAACAGCTTTATTCTGCCTTCTCAGTGTACAGAAGAGACAAGACTTGAGAATTCCTATTCTCTCCCATCAAATTGACATTTGCACACTAATTTTGCGCATGATTTTCATCCAATTCCAATCCCCGAACAGCTCCGTACTTTCAGCTCGAATCAATGAATGCACTCAACTAAACCGGGACTATCAGGAGCATTTTCATCGAGTGCGACGAAAATTGATGGAGAATCCGTCGGGGAAGCAGTTTGATTTTAGGTAAGTCCCGCTATTTGCTCTGTTCATTTTTTTAAATTCTGGATAACTTGAGGCTAAAAGTAGCACACTTTATTCTGTCGTACTAGTCTGTTCTCCTCTAGTAAAGAATTCAACGTTCCAATGAGACTATAATCAATCAAGTTTTGCTTGAAAATGTCCTTTCTGGTTTCTGCTGGACAGATTTAACTTGAAGAAGTTCCTGCTAATGAGCAGTTTGAAGTAAATCGATTAAAGTCATCTGGTAGAAATCGATAGAAGTAAGCCTGATGCCAACCGTCTGTTAGTCATTTGACATCTACCTACATCAGACAGACACCATAAAGTCTTAGAATTTTCAATCAGTTCATTTCTCAACTGATAACCACTACCTACTTTTGCACATTTCTCTATGTTTTTGTGGCTCAATGAATCTTTCGATCTTTCAGCTTAGAACTCCATTACCGTGTGCATAAGGCCATTCTTGAAATTCTACGGTCCCTTTATCTGGCTTTATCGAAGTCTTGATGCACTCTCAGAAGTTTTCATTTTTAGTTATGTTTGGGTACGATGCGACAGAGTTCGAGAGACTTCAAATCATGTTGGTCGAGGTGAAGACAGTCCGTGTCAGTAACCGATATGAACGTCATACAATTTGGTAACAGAATTTGCCGCTCAGGTATAACTCACTCATTCTACGGTCGGACAGTGTTTTGATGAATGCAGTAATTTGTAGGTTTTCTACTGTATATGTATATAAATTAACATCCCTCGTGGAGGGGGGTGACCAAGTGAACAAATTGCGCAACTCATCCGACTGGTATTTTAAAATGACCAAGAACATTTTCCTACTATGATCAAATTTTCAGTTACCTTAAAAATTACTAAAAATTGCGCCATTTGTATTTCCAGTCTGAAATGGATTACGTACAGTGTTTATTTTCAAGCCAAGATTATTTTATCTGCCCTCTCTCCCTCGTCCTCTTTCTCTTTCTCTCTCTCTCTCTCGTGATCCGTAAACTGACTTGTCTTTCGTCAATCCAATTTTATCCTCCCACCCCCTCCCCACAGCGAGACGTACATTTTCGGTAAATTTGATATTTACTGTTCACAACTGAAAAACCTGTTAAACATTTTGGATTTGATGGATCGTTTCGGTGCGTTGAACGATCTGAAGTTGGAAGGAGTGGAAAGTATTGTGGCTCGATACAAAACTCTGTGTGACAATTTGAAGAAGCACAATTTCGACAGTACCGAACAGATGAAAAAAGATGTGAGTTATCGTTTTGATATCGATCCATTTTCTCTTACCATTGTGCTTCACAGTGACTTTGAATCAGTTTATAGATTTATCAAAGAAACAGTTTATATCTTACAGCTTTGTGCACATACTTCTCATCAACTCATCGTTGTTTTTACAGTTTGCCAAAGAACTCGATGGTTTCAAAAGTCAATTTGAAGTGATCGAACAGCAGTTGAATGACTTTTTGGAAAACTGGTTCACACAGCCTGCATCAGTGAGTTGATTCTATTCGCTTTCGCATCACTTGAAATGGTTTTCCGTCATGAATGGTGGTGGGTGTTGGCTTGTTCGTGGTGCTAACACACGCGATTTGAACCCTGACACAGTCATCTAATTTGGATGGAAGAAATTTGTACTATTGTTCAGCTCAATATCACATTTATCTAATGAAAGCCACCTGCGGTTCGATATCCCCCAAATCTCAGACCAAAGTTCACTGATTTCAATAACTGCGTCCGCGTAACTCTGGGTTTATCTTTTCTCATGGTAATCTTACTGTGGGAATCAGTTCAAGTAGGAAGTCAGTCTGTCGGAGTCACAATCAATCACATCCGGATTCGAACCCCATTGAATTCAACCAAATTTCACTGGGAAGAAAATTCCAAAACAGTGATACCAGAACCGCACCGTGTTCAGTGGCATCATGTCTATTCATAACCAATGCTCATAGTTTCATAGGTTTTTTTGTTATAACAAAAGTACATTCTTTTTAGGATCAATCAAGTTTGAAGTCAAAAATTAGAGACATCTTTCGTTACTTCTATCAACAAGGTTAATCGGAGTCTTTTATGAATTTAATTAGTGAAAAATCATGAATTCGATCATTTAATGTTATGAGGTGAGTGTGTTTGCGTTTGTGATGAAGTCGTCCAAATATCTCCACATTTTGATCCTGTCAGGTTGAACGTCGGTTGAACATTTTGAGCAAATTTCGCAAACTTGAATTCTGTCAAATGGACCTGGACGCGAAATACGCGATCGTGTTGCGCGCTTTCTCCACCGAATTAAACAACATCGGGCATTTGTACGAACAGCAAAAAGTGGATCCACCGATCGCGCGCAATATGACCCCGATCGCGGGCAAGATTTACTGGGCTCGGCATCTCTTCTATCAAATCGATACTCCAATGCAACATTTCAAACATTCTTGTCCGGATACACTCCTGGTAAGTTGATGTGCATGGGTGTACTAAGAGAGCTACAAGCAAACATAATATTACGTTAAATTAGAGTTTTAAAAATATACTCTTCATTTTTAGTTGACCGGGGGCGGTGGTACAAAATCCAATGGTCCAGACCACATAAAATTCAACGTGTGCAATTAATTAGTTCAACGTTTTAGCCTTCAAATTTTTGTAAATTGAGTCAAATCAACAAACTAAGACCTGGCATGAGGGTATGAAAACCCTAACCAGGATACTGGGTAGGTTTCGTTAGGCTGCTTAGATGGGGACCGCGGGATCATGGTAACCGGTGGTTAGAAAAGCTTAGTTATATAGCTGTGTCGCATCGAGTGGCGCTCGTGCATCTACTCAATATTCGTGCAACCCCAGTCTATACGAATTCTCTATATTCTCTTTTACTCTGCTCTCAACATTCCAATCATTATTGCGCTCTTTTATTCAAATGAGCAGCTAAAGGACAGCAACCAAAACCAGCGCATGAAAATGCATGGTTTTTGAGTGTTAAAACGGAAACTGGAACTGTAGGTTGTTTGTCCGTCGAACTGGTGCTTGAGTGTCGAGAGTATAACACAAAATTATTTCATTGCACATGAATTAAAACACATTTTGTAACACTTGTCGTTATTATTGTTGTTGTTACTGCTGTTGTTGTAGTAGTAGTTGTTGTTGTTAGTCTAAAATTCGTGACGTTCTGTATTGATCAAACTTTTCCCCGGAACACAACCGGGTATAGTTCAACAAAGGTGTATACTATTCTACCTAATCAAGTCTCTAATGTTCCAGATTCCGAAATGTGTCCATTATGACATGAGACCATACTTTCTGAGGCGAACAAGTGTGTCCGTGATACCTCTTCTCGCCTGTATATTTCATATAGGGAAATAATATGTAAAAAAGGGATAGAAATTCAGTCGCTCAAAGGTCTCATTGATTAGTCGGGAGGGTGAGAGATGTGGGATGAATCGCGCGACGTGTTGCACAACACTGTAATCAGGTAGTGTGTGATGCGTCGTCCTTACGATCAATCTCCAGTCATGGCATGGTCCATAGATTGGGTGCCTATAGATTCTGCCAGGGTTGGGGTGAAGGGACGCAGTGGTTGGCATGGGTTAGGTGGTACTCGATAAGTAACTTTGATTGCTGATTCACGCTTTACTTGCTAACCTGAGTCTGTTATATGAGTGAGACACCTTCTCCACCGTGTTGAAGTCGACGTGACCAGTGCTCTTTGATCCGCTGGGACAGTTGCCTCGCCGTTCGGCCAATGTTGGTTGCGTTACAAACACAGATAAGGCCTTAAGTGGGCTTAAGTGAACGCCTTTATTAGATGTTATCATTACTGATGAGCCTCTAAATACGCATGACTAACTGGCTGCATTAAAGGTTCCTCTCATACCACGTGCCAAACCTCTTTTCATCACATCCTTTGAATAACATTTTAATAAGTAGATTGTTCTTCGGAACTTCCAAAGCGGGTTCGTGCTTCGGTCTTTCTTCTTGGTTTATTTCGATGAACCTTTCAGGGTATCCGTTTTCACCGAGATTATTTTTAAACTGACAAAGTTCATATGTGAACGTGGATAACCTTCGTGCATGTAATACGAGGTTTCTTTCGAAGAACGATGATCAAATGTTTTCTCCAGATATGGTGTCACTGTATACGAACGTTCCACTTATGAAAACGGATGATTTTATCTGTAAATACATCGAATAAAATGTAATCGATATAAAAGTATCGGTAGGAAAACTTAAAAAACTTTTCCCGAAGTGTAGATTTGACGTTGCACTTCTATTTAACAAAAAACTGTATCGCTAGAGGGATGGTGTTGCTCTAGGCTCTCGACTGTGTTCAACACTAGCGGATCTGTTCATGACCAAACTGGAGAACTCAGGCCTAGAATCCGAAGTTAGAAAGATAAATTTTGCATAATCGACAGGGAGAACAACCTAACCCTTTTCACGTAAACGTTTAACAAGGCTCGCAAGTCTATGAGTTTCACCCTGAAAGCAGAGGACGACAAATAACTATCATTACCTGACGTATCTTCTCTGTACTGGACAATTGATGAACTGCTTGAACTTAAAAGAAGGGTATACAGAAAAGTAACGTGAACCGAACAGTACACCAACTTTCACAGGTTCCAGCCGTTCCTGATTTCCATACGCGAAATACTATATTTATACTGAAATCGATTGTGCCACAATATCGGTTTCTTCCGCAATTCTCAGACTGTGGTAGTGGAGTCATTCCTACGAACCAAATGGAAACCGTTAATTAACTTCAGAGTATACGTTCCTGTAATTTATATCATTTGTTATGTGAAAGGAGTTGATGAGAAATTTCATTCTATTCATGTACGTATTTCCTCGCATAAGAAGCAGTGAATCCCGTCTATTTGTCAGTTTGTTGGTAGTGCACACTTACCGGTCCAGTGAAGTGCAACACATTCAAAGCCAACAGAAAGTTAGCAACCGTGCTAATCACGTGACCTTCAGCACTATTGTATTGTATTATAGATGACTTATGCAGGTGACTGTGCCCACATCAAACTGTTTCAATTCGGACATTACAATAAACAGCTCAACTTGAGTTAGGTTCTTAGCGAGATAGAAGGATTCTTACTGTTTGACGGTCATCAGCTGGCACGAGTCGTCCTTTTGGGGACTCGTCAGCAGTGTGCACTATTTTCGCATCCCTGGCGGGACTCGAACCGTAAACTCCTCAACAGTGAAACTCGCATACGAAAAACAGTCATACGCATACCCTAGTGTAAGGGAATTCGCATCAATCATAGAATAATATAGCTAGCTATATTGCAAATTCTGCCATTTCTGTTTGCTTTCCAATGAATCAAGTCAAGTCAAGTTAAACTAAGCTTTATGCACCCGGAAGGTGAATTTTCAGTGATTTCACGAGAACACAGTGGCAGTGAGGGTAAAACGCAGAATAGCGTGAAGAGGATAACGAATATGACAGCGCACTGAGAGTAAGAAGAAGATAGTGACAGTTTAAAAAATAAATAAATAAACTAATTCACGAAATGTTTCACCAGACCAGTAATGCCCGGTTCATTGAAGATCGAATGAGTACTGGGGTTGACATGGATTTAAGCAGTTTGTTGTGCAAATAGTGATCTTCGTTGTTCAAGATTCTATCGGCTATTCTTTCATATGCATCTGTGTGCTTGCACACAATCAAATCACCCAGGACATTTCTGGCTATACCACTATATCGGGACAGGAGTTTAATGGAGCGTGAGATTAGTATTAAATCTTTTTCTTGCAGGCCGGAAAAAAAATACTGGGGAACAGTACAGCCAATGAAGGAGGATGCATGAAACCACAAATTCGAAAATTACATTTGGGGAACAGCAAGCTTCCTAAAGCCTGAAAGCACAAATAGAAGATTTACGAACCTCATTGTAAACGATCTCTGCATAGCTAGTCTACGAGAGGTTGTGGGATAGAACGACGCTGAGTTATTTAACAGAGTTGTGACTGTGACTGTTAACGACGCGATCAGTAAATTGTTAAAAGTAGTTTGATAACGAGAGGCAGATTTAATGTTGAATGGAACATCAATACATTTGGAAACATTAAGTATAAGAGATCGGTGCAGGGTCCAACTAGAAACGTCGTTCAGACTGCCTCGACGATGGTGGAAAGATACATCGTCATCGGAGGGGTACCAAATCACCACATCGTCAGCATACTTACAGGTAATCAAGTTGGTAGGGACAAGTAGGTTGGTTGTACACAGGGAGAAAAGGGGAACAAAATGATGCCCTGAAATACCCCCCAGAGTTAACATGTGAAGATGACGACGTTTTACAACTCCATGAGGTAAATTGCGTTCTGGGAGTGAAGTAGTTTACATGAACGTTTTACATTTCAGATCCCAAGCCCTAGTTAACAAGACGCTGAAAGAGAATGCGACAGCCAAGCGAACCAAAGACGCCGGTATAATCGAGAAAAATAAGGTGAACAGTTCCAATACTACTATCTAAAACGGAGGCCACAAAATAGACAACATACGCCACGTCGTCAACACTTGAAAGGGCTTGTATGCAAGCAAATTGAATAGGATCGAGAAAACCAAAGAAAGTAATCAACCGGTTCAATGGTACTCTTTCAAAGACCTTCAATAGGGCTGAGGTACAGACATTCGGTGGATACTTTGAAACGTATTAAAATTGAACAAATTGGAGTGTATGGTAGCATAAGGCGGTAATAAGTACAATTTGATATGCTCTATGTTTAAGTGGGGCTTCATTCTTGCAGAAGTTATTACAATACAATACACGGGCATGAGAAGCAGCTGGTGCACCACCACTGCCACCACTACGACCACCTTAAGCACTATCAAGACACTGGCGCAATTATTAGCATTTTTTACTGCCCTCACTGTCTTGTGTTGGTCTTCAACATCCAGTTCTGGAGCTTTTGCCTAACCACATCATCTCTCTCGGGTAAAATTGTTGCATGGAGAACACAAACGAAACCGATAGTATCCAATTGAATGTACGGGGCTCAATTCACAATTGGATAGGATCAATCTATATCCCCAGATGTTAATCAACCAACGAAGAACAACCGAATCGTACTTCCTAGAATTCTTACTTCACCTTTCCCGTGCACTCTAGTCACCAATCATTAGGTTAGTCGATAAAATCAAATTCTCTATTCCCTACTCCTAATTGTGAAAATAGCGACCCAGCTGAAATATTTTATACAAATTTATTCTATTATTATAAACTCTTTTAAATGCCTTTCATAGTACAAGTATCAGTAATGGTATTAATAATCTCACCAACTTCTAATAGACTTGTATAACGGTAATCAAGGAGAGGGGGATGGTCGTTTTCAGTATTTCATAGTCATGTCAGCGTACCTCAATATATAAGGCTAATTATGGACGGGATTTGCGTTACATTCGGCCTGGACGTACAATCAAAGCGATTGACCCGTTCTAAGCCCCAGTTTCGAGGCGCTCGATCAGTTAGTAGTTGATGGTTGGTTCATGATGAAACCCACAACTAAAGTGAAAAACAAATACAACGAAACGTGAGGAACACTCCAATTATTCTTTACAATTCTTTAGAACCGAGAGAAGACAAATACTGCGAGATGTTAACATTTCTTTTAATCTCTTCAGTCGCTACAACGTAAAACAATCTGGTATTTATACAAGCAAGTTTTGATAACTACAGTGCTAAAACGGATAGTAGTCGGGGAAGCGGGGTAGAAGGTGGGGTGGGAAATCAAGTCCATTGCAGTCTGACTGATTGTGTAAGGAACTTTTGTGCACACAGGACTGGGTTACATAAATTGATTAGCAGCGCTTCGCTAAACGCCAAAATCCTGGGATTCAAGTTACGTTACTTACATCTTGAACGACATTTGTGGGTCAACGCTGTGTCCAGTTGCCATGAGATGTTTCGCGATGGATGACCCTGGGTTTCTCTTATCGGTTTGACCTCTGAGACTTTGTTGCGTCATCGATTGTACTAACCATTTGGGAATGTGTTCAGACATCCGCTGTGCCAGGGGCCGATTCGTTCTGCCGATGTAAGTAACGTAACTTGAATCCCAGGATTTTGGCGTTTAGCGAAGCGATGCTAATCAAGTTACGTAACCCAATATTATGTGCACAAAAGTTCCTTACACAATCAGTCAGACTGCAATGGACTTGATTTCCCACCCCACCTTCTACCCCGCTTCCCNCGTTTTAGCACTGTAGTTATCAAAACTTGCTTGTATAAATACCAGATTGTTTTACGTTGTAGCGACTGAAGAGATTAAAAGAAATGTTAACATCTCGCAGTATTTGTCTTCTCTCGGTTCTAACGAGTTGGATAAAGGGGACCCAATGTTTCAACTTTACAATTCTACCAATCACTTCCATATAGTTGATTATGTGTATATATTGTGCTGAAATGGCGGTATTCCTAAACGCTACAAAAAAACCTATTTGTCACCGTGTGATCATATGATGTGTCAGGCTTCGACAATCACTCACCGATTCTTAGGGAGAAATTCGACGTTTCACTTACCGTTCCTTTGACGATTCTGTGATCCAACAACTTAGATTCGGCGAAGATAAACTGGAGTACTTTTTAAAACTAGTCTTACGCATAGTTTAGGTGAACGTAGAAAACGCATTGAGGACTGGGTACTTTATTTTTTCGCAAACCATAGTCCTATAATAACTGGTAATCAATGCCTATATGATGAAATCGAACCGACTCATGACTAGATTAACTGACGCCGGCATACAGTCCAATTAACACATGGTGGTACGGAACAACGTGTCACACCGTAATTCCGTAAAACCAAAGCGTTAATGTGTAAGTGAAAAGCAGAACGAAAGTAAGCACTTTTTGAGTAAATAACCGTTCATTCTTGAAATTCCGTCATTCGGCCTTCAAAAATGAGCGTAGCATAATAATCGGACTACTTAAATTGTCACAGTAGTAGTCATAGTACAAATACCGAGAAATGCAAATTGTTGTCTGGAGAATTTACAATCCGGATGCTTAATTTGCTTTCTGCTCTGCTTACAGTTTCCAGTCAACCAAGTGTTTGTACTGCACTCTGCCGGACTAAAATACATTGAGCAGATTTTTTTTCATGCAGGCCTTACTCCTGTTCTCTTTTTGAACAAACTTATCTCATATTCTCTGATTATTGACTACCACTAAAATTTCCTTGCCAACGTATTCAAGTTGACCCTTTGTTTACCTGTGTGCCCCAGACACCAGACGGACAGAAATGTGTGAAGCAGTTCAATAAAATTGCCAACGTACTGGTCCACTATGAACTGATTCATCATCAGGCTTGGTGCCGTGCGATGGAGGAAGGTCTGGTCGGCTTGTCTGCTTCTCTGCTCATACGAAGTCCACAGACTGAGAAATTATTGGTCAATTTCGATGTGGAAATTTGGCAAATGACGTGCGAGGCGCGGTACATGTGTGCTCTTGGATTATCTATCCCA